TTTTTTTGGTTTTTCTCCGGTACCGGGAACCGAACTCACGACCTTGCGCTTGCCAGGCAGGCGCTTTTTGCCGCTGAGCTAAATCCCCAGCCCGTTAAGTTTTGCTTTTAGATATAACCCCAAAATACTTTACATTTTATATCAGTTTAATATCTGTATCATCCGCTACTCTTACATTGACAATCCTAGGCTGCAAAGGATATGTATCTACATCACATAAACTTTCATTATTAAGCTTGAGTCTTACTGACTAAGTTCATACTAGGCATCTATAAATTACATTTTCAAATGATGTTACATAAAATACTAATAAGATATCATTAATGCTTAAGTGTGAATTAGGAAGTAACATACAAATGAAATATACCACTAAATAGTCTCATAAAAGTTTCTTTGGCATAAAAAAATCTGCATTCACTATATATTACACTGTCACTCGCCACAAAGCCTTGATTAAACAACATTTGACTCACACACAAAAATAACATATTTTCTATAACTGTCCTCTTCAAGTATGACTGTACTAAAAATATAAATTATTAATAATAATGTCTGGTTAAAAAACTACAGAATAGAGCTGGGTGTGGTGGCTCAAGCCTGTAATCCCAGCACTTGAGAGGCTGAGGCAGGAGGATGGTTGAAAGTTGAAGGCCAGCCTGGGTTACAAAGTTTTTGCTACAAAATGGTCTCAAGGCCAGCCTGAACTACATAGCAAGACCCTGTCTCAACAAGATAAAAAAAAAAAACCCGCAGAATTTTAGAAATGAAAGTACCCTTAAAATTTAACCTCATTTTGACCAATCTCATTTTACAGATGAGAAAACTGATGCAGAGTTTTTACAACCTCATAAAGTATCAGTGACAAACCTCATTAAGCTACTTCCTTTACCTTTCATTTTTAAATAATGGCAAACATAGGAAATTGCAAAAGTAGCACAAAGAACTTCTATCCAATCTTACTTAACCCATTATTACCCCAACTCTAACACTTAATCACATCTATTTATCATTCTCTCCTGGCACTTATTTGTGTGAAGCAGTAGACACACCTGCTTTTTGTGCAGGGGAGGGGTACCAGGAATCAAACTCAGGACCTCATGCTTGCCAGGTAGGTGCTGTGCCACTGAGCTAAACCTCTGGCCCTGACATACCTGCTTCTTTAACCTAAAATATTGCATTGTTTATTTCTGAAATACATGAATATTATCCTCTAAAAGGCAGCACAATGGCCCAAACCAGGAAAGTAACACTGATGCTGTTAACATTGAGACTATTATCTATATATAGATAATAGTCTATATATAGATATATAGATATATCTATAATATAGAGACCCTATTCAAATTTTCCCAAATATCTTACTAATATTCTCTATTTAAAAATTGAGAAAAAATTTTTGATTCTAGATCCACTAGTTTCATTCATCAAATATCCTGTTTCTTAATAACAATCAGAAACAGCATCACCTTTACCTTCGAACAATTCTTCACTCTGTCTTTCACAATCTTAACACTTTGAAGAGTATGGGTTATTTGTTTGTAGAACATCCACCAATCTAAATTGGGATATTTCTTCATGATTAGATTCACATAGCATTTTTTGGTAAAAATACCAAAGAAGTAATGTTATGTCCTTTAAAACCTATCATGTAACTGGGCAAGGTGACACATACTTGTAATACCAGCATTCTGGGAGGTTAAGGCAGAAGGATCACAATTTTGAGCACAGCCCAGGCAGTTTACCTCCTCAGATTCTGTCTCAAAACTAACTAACCAACTAAGTAAATAAATAAATAAATAAATAAATAAATGTAAATGAATAAAAGGGTAGGGATGCAGCTCAGTGAAAATGCCCTCGATCCAACTCCCAGACAGACTCTGACTCTCTCTCTCTCTCTCTCTCTCTCTCTCTTGTGTCTCTGTCTCTCTCTGTCTCTCTGTCTCTGTCTCTGTCTCTGTCTCTGTCTCTGTCTCTGTCTCTGTCTCTGTCTCTGTCTCTGTCTCTGTCTCTGTCTCTGTCTCTCTCTATATATATATACATCCAGGACTGGTGATACAAGCCTGTAATCCTAGCATTCTCTACGCTGAGGTTGGCTTACAAATTTGAGCGCAGTTGTGGGCAACTTAGCAACTCAGAAAGACCCTATCTTAAAATTTAAAAAATCAGTGAAGGTTGGCAGGCTGGACATACAGCTCAGTGGGAAGGCCATCGGTTCAATTCCCAAACCCACCAAAAATAAAACACTTCATGTCAGGAAACCCAAAATACTGTTTTGTCCCACAGCTTAGGATATTAACTTTGATTACTCAGTTAAGATGACATTTCTCCACCAGAAAGTTACTACTCTTTTCCTCTTCTAATTAATAAGTGTGTCTTATAGGGAGATACCTTAAGACTATTTTGTTTTTTGAGACAAGGGTCTTGCTATGTCTTCCCGGCTGTCTTTGACCTCACTATGTAGCTCATGCTGACCTTGAACCCACAGTGATCCTTCTGCCTCAGTCTTCCAAGTTCTGGGATTGTAACGGTGTGCACGTGCCCAGCAACATTCTGTTTCTTAACACCTCCTCATAAAGTGCTTTCTTAAATATGAGAAAATATTCCTGCTCATAGATAATACTGCCAAGTATTTTCCTTAAATAAGTTTGCTATCAAGGGTTTCATTATAATTAACCAGTCTCAAAATTATTATGCTTATATAACAGCACACAAAGCTTATATTATCATCTCTCTCATAGGAATTTAATTACCTAAATTTAATATATATCACAGGTACTAAAAGGATACTATTCTTGGCTTCACAAATGTTATGCTCTGAAGTTTATGGGTAATGACACTAAAGTACTCTAAAGCACACTTTGACCGTTTTATTTCACAATGCTTCTTCCTATTTCAAAAAAGAGGAAGTTAACCAGCAGAAACTGGCTGTTCAAACTGCACAATCAGTTTTAAAACGCTAAGTAGGGAACTCAAAAATTATACTGTGAAATCACACTTCCAAGAAGGCAATCGAGCATATATCAGATTAAAATGTCCACAGCAAAATATACACATTTGGCTTTCCCTTTCTGAGAGGTGATGAGTAATCACAAATCCAACCTAGCATGAACATTCACTTATTAAAAGTTTGCCTTCTGTTCTCAGCTTTTTAAACTCTTACATCTTCTAACAAGACTGAGTCCAGAGTTTAGCACATTTTCACATGATTTCATTTTATGTTGCTATAATCCTATGTATAAGGTAAGAACAGAAATCACCATTCCATCCGCTGAAAGGTAAGTAATCAGGTTAAGAATTTTATTCAAGGTCGCCCACTAAAGAGACTGAGGCATGTCAAGTGCAATTCACTGATGCAGTCCTCACCCAAATAATAGCAAAGTATTTTTCCCTGTCCAAACTCACCTGATTACTGCAGTCTGGACAAAGACTAATAAAAGTGAAGACATTAAAAGAGATACATCTATAATTTTATCTCAATCTCTATTGCTCCCATGTTTCAAATAACTGCAGGTAATTATTATTTTCTTTCTTGGCCTCTTCTACTACACTGTAATTAGGTTGGAGTTGATAAATCTTTCCCCAAAACTTACGAGTCTCAGGACTACCTTATCAAACACGACTATAATCACAGTTACTTCTACTTTAGAGCATTCCCCAGAGGCAGGTCTTAGCAGTTTTTTTTTTTTTCGTTCCCTAATGCAGACAGACAGTCTATGTATTTATGTATCAGTCTATATGTACAATCAAGCACAGTCTGATTTGTTTTAAACAATCATTTTAATTTCAGCTCAAGTAACTTAATTTTAAACTAAGAAAGATTTGAGGCTGGGGGTGTAGCCAGTTGTAAGGTACCCCTAGGTTCACTCCCTAGTACTGTTACCAAAAAACAGAAAAAGGAAAGAAGAATTTCAGCACAAAAGTAGAAACAACAATGTTTCCTCTGGAGCAAAAGCTTAATTAATATTGAAAGGGGATACAATGCTGTTATTTAAGAGGCCACAGCACATAGTTAAAAAGACTCCTAGGGCTGGGATGTGACTCAGTGGCAGAGGGCTTACCCGGCATGTATGAAGCCCTAGGTCTGATCACCAGGACCACAAAATGCCTAGATTCTAGAACTGCCTGAGCTTTTAACATTTCAACAAAAGATATTATTTATTCTTATGCAATAAATAAAAGGAGCAGCATGCACAGTGGCCACTGTCTTCTGCCTTTGCTATTGCTATTAGCTAGCATAACTTAACAGGCATGCAGTATTTTGCTCATTGCTTTATATGGATTACCACTCTAAATGTTACAAAATCTGAGAGAGATACACTGGATTGTTTTATATATAAGGGAAAGTAGAAGGAATACATACCCTATCCTCAGGTTCCAAATCCACTTAAACCAACTATGTACGGAAAATATTTTTAAAAGTGTCCATACTCAATTTTTTTCATGTCACTATTCCCTAAATAATACCGTATAACTATCACTTACAAAAAAATTACTTACATAGAATTTACACTGTGTTACATATAGTAATCTAGAGATGATCCGAAGTATATGGGAGGATGCGCACAGCTTGATTGTAAACAACTTACCATTTTATATAAGATACTTAAGTGTTTGCAGATTTTGTATCCAGAGGTCCTGAAATAAACCCCTCTCAGACACTGAGGAATAACCATAATTCACTATAAGTCAAATAGCCAGCAAGTGGTAGAACCCTAACCTGAATCTGACTCCAAGATTCATTTTCTTTATCTATACAGTATTACAGTAAGCCTTAAACATGCTGTAGTCTTCTACTGCTGGTATATTTACT